GGGAAAGACCAAATTGTGAATCAACAATTATCTACTTTATTTTAGTTTACTGGCTGGACAATCAAAAAATGTGGAACGCCTGGTCAATCAGCACGTGCATAAGCTCAGAAGGAGCAACAATTTGCTTCCTCATACCCTCTTGTCCTGGTTTGGCTAAACAGGGCTATTTTCTCCTTTCAGGAGTTTTTCTTTCAGTTAAGTCCCTTCTAAGTAACTGCACTTTCTGAAAGTACAGCTACATGTTTTTCAGACACTGTCTGCGTTTCAGGCCTGATAATGCTCGCTCTTTATAGTTGCTACTGAAGTATCAGTAGGATTGGTACGCAGAGAGGCCCATGTTTATACTTATCTCTGTGAGAACCAAAGCCACTGCTGGCCTTCTTTTGTTAAGCAAGCAAAAAGTCGTAAAAGGGTCGCACCTGTGGGAGAGTCCAGATGGGACAGGTGACCAAAAACTGACTAACGAGGTATTCCATCCCATCCACGTCATCCTCAGTATAAAGCTAAGGGATCACGAGGGCATCGCTCTCTTCTTTCATGGCCGCCATCCCTGTGGGACCCTGCTCGCTCTCCTGCCTCCGACCCCGATCCGTGCATTCCTGAATCCGGTTCCTGTCGGCTGCGCAGTCCGAGTCCGGTCCGGGACGCCCGGGTGCCCGCCCTGCTGAGCCCCTGTGGGTTGCGGACTGCGATCCCCCGGCCGTCATTGGGACACTCAGTATTGGTTTTGTATACTTTTCCTCTTATTTCTATTATTAGTAGTGTTACTATTAATACCTTATACTATTTCCCATTATTATTGTATTATTTAAGTAGTTTTCACTTCCAACCCGTAGATCTCTCTCCCTTTTCTCCGTCCTTTCCCCTCCCGGGGGGAGGGAGGGCATTAACAGAGAGCGTCTGCCACCCGCTTTAAGAGCCGGCCCAGCCTTAAACGGTGACACCTCTGTCAGGGTGTAAAGAAAGTTTTGAAAAATTTGTAGGTGGTATTAGAAGCACCAGAGGTGTAGGGGTGAGAATATGGACTGGGTTCCTGGGAGGAAGCTGCAGAGAAGAAGGGTACAATAGAGAAGAATCTCTTTGGAGCAGAGAACACAAAGACAGCCTGTGGGCAGGATACAAGCCCATTGGAAGCCAAATGCCATTAGCTGTGTTGCTTATTTTTGCCTTTTTTTTTTTTTACAGTTTAAATAACTTCAGTAACTAAAATAACTTTCTCGTATCTTCAGCTAAATAATATTGCTGCCTGGGAAACAATGACCAGAAGAGCTACACGACATTCACTACCTTGCTCAAAAAACTTGATTCTTTTTTTAATTTTTATAAACTTAAGTTCAGCTCAATACTAACACTGAGGATTCTCACATTATCTCCCCAAAGAGGGCAGTTATTTGGGAAGTTCTTAACATGAAAATATTTACAATTAGTGAAAAGATACACCGAATTAGAAGAAGAAACTAACCATTTGAAAAATTACCTGTTTTAAAAGTGTGAGTTAGATTGTTAATTAAGACAGACGAGTAAATAAGAGTATTTTTAGCTCATTGTTTTCCCTCTTCAAAACAAATGAAGGTGCACTGGAATGCCTTTTCTTTGTTATTAAGATCTTTGAATTAAAAGAATTTTGAATAGCTGGAAGCCAACAAATACTTGTGGTATTAAATATGCAGCTCTACTTAATCTTTCTCTCAGCAAAGGCAAGTGTGGCAGGGGGGAGAATTCGTGTGCCACTCAAATAGCTGGTCCTTTTATCATGCAGGCCCTACATTTTATAGAAAATTGAAAATCTTGTTTTGTTGACAAATGTAGAAAGCTTATGTGTTAGGAGGAGTAATCAGTTTGGAGTGGAAGAGAATGTGACAGTTAAGGAAGGAAAGGTTTTGTGGTTTTCTTTTTGGAAAATACAGGCATCTATATGAAAAGAGACGAAGTGCTGCTTTCCACTTCTGCTCAGATAGCATCATTAATCTTCTGACCCCAAGCCCTCAGAAGCCAAATCCACCATCCAGTTACAAGGGTAACCAAGTCTGCAAAGTTATTTTAGTGCATGTAAAAAGCAGAAGTGAAGAGAGCTCTGTTTCCTAACTCTTACGCAAGAAACACGTTACACAGAAACAACAGCTCATGAAAATGTCAGGTTCAACACTGAAAACTGATGCCTGGTGATCACAGACAGATAAAAAGAATCTAAAATAGATTTCTTCAGCAGACCTCACTGTCAAATGTATCCTGTGTATCTAAATACAGAATGTGCTTAGGGCCCACTCTAGTGAGTTGAATCTGTTGATAGCCTTGTGTTTTTCTCTTGAAACATACCAAAACATGAATAAATCAGAGCAGATATGTATTTCCTCAGAAAACACTGCAGAATCCTACACTGTGAGATCTAGCTCTATTTCTGGAAAACACATTTAGTACACATTTAGTTACGAGGTACAGCGGGAACCTGTGAAAATTCCCTTTCTCACCAAGTGAGACATTCACCATGCAGCAACACACAACCTAGCAGATAACCCTACTGAGACACTTCAGTAAACTAATGGGGGAAAGCTGAGTGCCTTCTTGACAGCAGTTTACCAAGTAACTTTTTGTTGTTAGCTGTTCATCCGTGACTAAAATAAGTAACTCAAGTCCTGTAAAATGAATAGGGTAAAGGACTGAATTTAGAAATAGCTGGTGCAATAAAAGCTGTATCTGGTGTAGCTGTACATCCAAATGTCCACTAGCATTTATCCACTTTTATATCATAGTATTTTGCTCCCATAATCCCTCACTAAAGGAAATGACACAAAGTTGTCACTGGTGGATAACCAAGCACACATTATTTGCGCAGTGGTCCAACTGGTCCAGATGACTCCTGGAAGAAATGGTGAAAACTTACAGCCAATGAGGCAAATTTTTGTGCTGCCTCCACAAGGTAACTGTATGACTGTCCTCACTGAAGTGAGGAAAAAAAATTCCCATCCTATTTTATAATTTCAGGCATGTGACTTGACTCTCCTGACTTTAGCAAAATCAAGATGGAAGTACTAACTGCTGTAACAAACATTTTCCCTTAAGATGATTCACAAAGGATTCCTCTGAAAGTAGAAAAATAGAAAATACACTTACCATGTAGTGATTTCATTCCCAAAGTATATGATGGTCTCCGTAATGGCAGCGACTTTGGGAGAGAAGGGTACGTGCTGGTGAACAGGACATCATTTGGCATGGCTTGGTCCAAGAGCGAGGCCCGTGAGGTGAAGAAGTGGTCCCTTTGACCACTGTAAATACTCTCATCTGACAAAGTCCTTTGCAAGGCACGCCTTGTGGTAGGAGTGCTGGGAAAGGGAGACTGACAGGACAGAGTGTGTGACTATACATTCATAAAAACAAATAAAAAGAAATGAGGAAAAAAAAAATCAATAAAGAAAACTTTTGAAGTTTACGTTGAATTTTTTTTTTAAAAAAAAACTTTTTTTTTTTAATAAGAAAGCAAGTGTTAACATAGTATTTTTTCAGAGTAGATAGGCTAAAAAAGACATATATATATTATAATCTCCTTCAAAGCAGATTACTTCAGTTCTTTTTCCTATCTCACATTCTACCTTTTAAATACCTTTCAGATTTCTCCTGAAGTGGAAATCTCAGGCAGCCCTTGTGGATTCTAGAGCTGATGTGTAGCAAAGATAATGTCTACAGAAGCAGACTGAATGCTGCATAAAGAAGAGTTCATCCTTGTACCCAGGGGAGGCTGTCTTCCTGGAGGCAGAGCACCAGCAAATGCCAACTAATTAAAAGTCTTGTAGTACTGAACAACTAGGAACACCCACCACCACTTCGATTCTTCAGAAGGATTTGAATCAAAATTAAGTAAATAGGTCCATGAGTAAGACAACTTGTGTCTTACGTGGAGCATGGAGGAAGCTGGGATGATGCTGGGGGTAAGAGAAAGCAATGCTGTGGTTAGCCTGGAGTTATGCGCTCTCTGGCCAGTGCCAGCGAGCTGCTATCAAAGAATGCATAACCATTCCCATCAGCAGACACACAGATTTTCATGAAACCTGTAGCAACATAACTATCCCTAAGACATAACATTTCTTTATGGTGCAGTTGAAATTTGGTCCAAAGGCTTTCATGGAGAAATGGCAAACAGAAAGGAAGACCTCACCACTCTCATTTGCTCTGTAAGCAAGTTTAAACAAAAAAGGAGATAATACTATTTCCAGAAAGAATGATTAAACATTATAAAGAGTTGCTCATTTGCACATAAAAATAATTCTCTCTTCTCAGAGAGAGGGGGAAAAAAAATAAATGTTTAAACAGACAGTACTCTATTCCTGTGATCAAAATCCCACACTACAAGGTGGGAGAAGAGCGTGGAGCAGGAACTATTGGTACTGTACAAAGACAATCTGCTAGAATTTTTTTTTCCAAAATGTTACAAATTTTTAATATTAAAAGATTGCTGCACATTTTGGTTTTATAACTAAAGATCAGAAACAATTAAGATTACTTCCAAAAACCTGCTGTCATCAAAAGACAAGGAAGGAAAGAGAAGCCAAGTCCCATGCCAACTTTCTATTACGTCAAATTCTCCCTTCTGCATTGCCTCCCTCAGGACATTCCCATCACAGTATGAACCCTGCATATAAAGTTAACACTACAGAGATGTCAACTTCTGGTACAGTTGTCACTGTGTTATATTGAGGATCAAGATGCTTTTTTATTCTGAAACGCAAAAGCTCAATCAGCAGGTTCATGTTATGATCCAGTGAAATCTCCCAGTACTTGCCCTGAAGTGGAAAGGAAAATAAAGAGCTGCTAAGCTAAGCAGCATTTACTCAAGGTTGGTATAGTTCACTTAGTGTTAAAAAAATTAGGAGTCAGAGCCACCAGTTAATGTCAGACGTTGAGATTAAAAGGTTACACACATATGAACATCTAGTGGAGTCGGAACAGAGGCAACAGGAGCAGGAATTGTCTTCTGGTAATAGAGCAGAGGGAAGAGAAAAAGAAGGGTGACTTGTCTGAGAAGACATAAGTAGTAGGTAAGGAGATAAGGAAGGCTGGGAAGATAATAAAAAGATGCACAAGACACACCAAATCACAGCCTAGAACAAATTCTACTAGCAAACAAAGCCTTTGGCATCCAACAGACAGGAAGGAGGAGGATTTTTGGTCTTTGTGCAGTGAACTAACGAAGGCCATTATGCCTTTTTTTTTTTTACACAAAAGATTTTATGCTGTAAGAGCAACTTTTTTGTAAGACGAAATATAAATCGTGCAGTGGGCAGAAATGACAGTTACTTTTAAAATGGAAACGATTTAATTTATTGGTGTGATAGAATGTTATTAACTTGCTGAAATTTATCAATAGTGTAACCTGAGTTAACATACTTGTTACAGTCACCAGGAAATAAAGATCAGGGTAAGAATTGATTCACCATCTCCAAAGCAGAACAACAAACTTAGGAACATACACACTTTTCATGGTCCTCAGATCACCTCTTTAAACAGAATGGAATTTCTTGGAAGGAGAACAATCCTCTTGCTCAAAACAACCAACAGGAGATACTTGCAACTCCCATGTCCCACTCCCCTCAGAACTACCACAAACCTAAGAAAAAGGTATCTTGCCATTGGCAAGGTTTTTTTCCCTCCGGCCTCAAAGGTAACATCCGAAATAACCTGTGTACGGAACCTAGCGCTTGGAAGTTTTAATAAGCCACTTTGGGTTTTTACAAGCAAAAAAAGAAGTTGCTGCTCTCTCTTCTGCATGGTTGCTGTGGAAACTGTTGGGGCTCTAGATGATGAGCCTGAGTTGTTGAGCACTGACTGCACATGGAGACTGTAGAAATCAAGACATTCTCTTCAAAATTAATATATGCACTTTCGTGTTATTATACACATTTTGAAACACATCGGGAAATGCTTTTATTTATTTTGTATAAATATTTGCTTACATTTAGGGAGCATCAGAGAGGCGTAAAAGCATGCTTTTTGCAATGAGTTTCAATACCGTCAACAAGTCACTGTCTAGCGATGCAATCAGAAAAGAACAATCTAAATGCAAAGACAACACTGCAGGATTTTCCATGAGTCAGCAGTCCTAAACGTTCTTTGCAATTTGGCATACTAGTCTCTTTAAATTTGCACACAAAACTGCAATAACATCGCAGTGATTGGAATAATGAAACTGTTCCCCAAATGTATTTTCCTAGTAGATCAGTCTGTGACAAATGGATGACTTTCTCTCAATGATGAGAATTCAGGTAATGCCTTGCATTTTACTCTCCTGTTATGGTGAGAATAGAAAAGATCATATCTGAGAAACTCTTTCAGTCCAATGCAAAGTCCAACCGAGTAAGTTCCGTATGAATGAACGCTTCAGATTTGACTGCTTTGAAAGCACCCAGTATTTTCTGCACAGAAATCTTACAGCTTCATGGCCTTCACCCCCTCTCAAATTGTGAAGCATTTGCTGCATTAGTTGATGTGCTTAGGCAGCAATGAACCCAATCATCAAATTCTTATAAAGTGTAACTTTACATGTTTCTATTTTGTAACAACAGAACTATGACTTGGATCAGAAGAGGACTTGTGCATTGCTCTTCAGGTATTCTCAGGTCTCACATAACAGTGACAAGAGAGAGCCAGATGACAGACTTTCTCTTTAACATACCTTAAAATTCTTCTGGGATTCAGGTGTTGGGCTATCAAGATCTATCAATTTCTTCAGCTCTTCTTCAACGGTGGACTTGGATACTCGTTTTGGTGATGCTCGTAGATCCCTTGCTGAAGCACGCAGCCGAGGGTGGGCCATTTCATTGCCATCACTCTGGTGACGTCTTAAATGAAATGGAATAGACACATTCAGGTCTCAAAAGCCCTGGGGCAGGAGGCATGAATGAAACAAGAATTATAGCACCCTCAAGATTTTCAAAGAAAAAACCTAAGCTGGGGGCATGGAGGAGGGAAGGAGTTTCGCTAATACAGCAGAGCTTCATCATAACGAATACCTGTTGAAGCAATAAACTTGTAAACATCAACTAGCAAAACACTTAAAGGTTATAATAATACATTTTCCCAATAAGGGACTGAATCTATTAAAATAACGTGTTCAGTACAAAACTAAAAAATATAAATGTTGTCAATGAACCCAAAAGCAGCAAATCACTAAATTTCTTTAATCTTTCAACTGTTTTTTTATAATGCAGTTATCACAAAGTTTCACCATCTCTTTTTGACAGCCAGTTATTGGTATCATCTAGGGATACTGTGCTTGACCCAATAAAAGTCAAGAAGGGCTGAATAAATTACTTTGAAATGGGCTTTCTGAACCACTTGCTTTCCAAGTCATATTAGACTTAAAGGAACAGTATTTTCACTAGTAAGCTGTTTCTCAATTTCTCTTCCAACAGAGATGGTTGCATGTTGTAACACAGAGAGCTCTTGGCTTGCTTTAAGCCAGTTAGACTGGATATTGGCAGCAATCTTAACAAGACAACATCGAGTGCCACAGAGCTAATGCACAGCATGCATGGTACTACTACATGGATGAGAGGCTTAAGGAAAACTCAGGCTCTACGTTAAGATGATTTTTAATATTTGCTCAAATAGCATTTTGAGTCACCTTTATGAAGTCCTAAGGAAAGACAAGCTTTAACAGGACTGAAACCCATAAGCTCTCTAGAAATGACAACTTGTAAAAAAAATTTTTTATCAGGGAATGAAATTAGCTAACAAATATTTAAGCCTAACTGCAGATTAAGTTCTACAGAAGACTAAGCATTCTATTAAATAGTCTTGAGCTCTTCTATGCAGAGAAGTGTCACAGATCTCAATGCTTCTTTACAATTAAAGCAAATAACCAAACAAGAGAACCAAAAAACAGTCTTACTTTCTTGAATCCATAAACCCCACTGAGTTTATTGTCCCTTCTGGCTTTTTCCATCCAATCAGATACTTGCTAGTAGCACCCTGGCGAGGGTAGAAAGTCCTAGGACCAGATGAGGAGGAAGAGGAGGAGGAGAAAGAAGGTGCAAGTTGGGGAGAAGTAGCAGAATGAAGCTCTTCTTTAGGTGAGCTTCTGGCACTGGTGAAAACAACCGGGCTGGCAGAGTGTCGTGAGCTCATGGTACTAGGAAAAAAACATAATAAAGACAAAATTTGCCTCAAACGTGTATATATGCACCTTGTTTGACTATATTTAAAGCAGAATGCTGGGCACAAGATGTTTCTCTCATCAATAGTGAGTAGAGTAGCAAAACCACTTTGCTCTTCTTAAGGGCCTTCCACCAATGTTTCATTAAAAACATCTCTGGTAGTAATGAAAAATTTTGTAAGCAACCTCTAAGGATGCAATATACCACTGTCCCCTCATTCCCCTTCACAAATGGGAAATCTAGGGTTCATGGTCATTAGGCAGCTTAAAAGTAATACAAGAGACTGTAGCTGAATTAGCAAAAAAATAAACCAAACAACACACAAACAAGTCCAATTTATTGCTGGTATTCCTGGCTGTGGCAGAAAACATATTTTGAAGGAACTTACGCAACAGGAAACATCTCTTTAAGACCCCACAACAAACCAAAGAAGAAACCCACACATCTTTCAAAAGAGGGCTTCCTGGATTGTGCCTGAAAAGCAGTTACTATTTGCAAAAAGACTCTTAAATTGAGAAGTTTGAGCAGGTTCCTAACATATATCACAATTTGTCTAGACAGAAAAAAGAGTTGGGATGACCAACTGCAGCTTATTGTTGGAAGGAGGAGGGGGGCTTTAGATGGGAGCTACTCTTTAGTTATGCTGATATCCAAATCTGATGAACTTGCATTATATCAGGAGCAGTAAGGCTTAAGACAATATTTACTATAACAACCTGAAAAGGTTAGGCATTTCTAAGTACAGTTACAAGAAAACTTTGTGTACAGCCTTAGTACTGAAATAGCATTATATATTTGGAAACCAGTTTTCTATCAGCTCTCTACACAACTTAGCCACATTTTCAGCCCTGTATCCAATACTGCAAGGAAGGAATTTGAAACAGATGGGCCCATGGTAAAGAACAGTTTCTGACTGAGAAATAAAAACTAGCTGGAAGGCTGAATAAAGTCACTGAATAATCTCTTCTTTCTTAGCTCAACAGAAAATTCTTCACCACTCTTCGTATCTTGATAAACAATGCATTTTCACATCTTACTGAAACAGAAAAAAATTTAAGGTTAAATTTATGTTGCCACCTGGGAAAATAATCTCACCTACATTTAGCCTTATAGAACTCAATTATCTAATCTATGCCACTTGTCTGGCTCCTGCTGTAGTCAATGGAGAAATATCCTCAGGAGGTGATTCTCCTCATCTTAAATTAGGTATCTCAGATACACAGGAAGAATTAATGCTTTGGAGTTTTTCCTCTTTTGCCATTGACAACAGATGGAGTCTAAAAAACCAAAAAAAATCACCTTCAACTACGTTTCATTTTCCAGTGGCTCCAGTTAAGCACCATGAGTCCCAACAGCGAAGTGCAGTAGATTTAATGAGGAGTCTGAGTGGACTGTAGTCTTCCCACCTCAAACAGGACCAGCTGCTCCAGTCCATGCTTCCATCTAACATGCTGGGATGGCTGTGAAGTCCCTCACATCAGGGTTAAGATGCATCTCCCCATGTGTAAGTAAATCAAATGACAATAATACAGATTTCGTATCACAGAATTACTTTTTTCCTTCCCCTCCATCTGCACATTTGAAAGGCCCATACAAAAATGGCAGATTGGGAAAACACAAGAAGAGATGTTCCTGTCCATCAAGCCCGTATATTTGGCACTGCACATCACAACCTTCGTATTTGTAGCAGATATAAGTAAACATAATTTGTAGTAAGCAAGCAGAGAAAAGTAAGAGCTACGGGGACAGGCAGTAAATTTCTCTACATTCCCCCTTTTCTCTCCTTTTTCAATAATGAAAGAAAACTCCTACACATGGTGAGTAAACCAGTCCATCTGTGAGGCATCACCACCACAAAATTAAACCACCAAGATTTGGGGAAGATGCACATCTTTAAAGAAAATGTACGGTGGGTTTTTTTGGGGGTGTTTTTTTTTTTCTTTCCATTTTTACCCCCTTCTAAGTACACCGAAGAAGTGGAGAAGTCTTTTGCTTCAGTGTAGGAAAAAGGAAGTTCTGATTGCATTTCAGAATTCTTTAATCCATCAGGCCGTTTTCAAGGAAGTGCTAGTTGTGAGAAAACTTTTCTTGATAAAAACCAGTAACAACTCCTAGATAGGCTGGTAGTGTTGATCCTTAATATTACCATGCAAAGAGGGCAAAAAATGATGTTCAGTATACTCTACATAAAATTTATATATAAAATGCATATGTATATACAATAAAATAATTGTAATATGTTATTATATATCATATTGTATCTACACATTGTATATTTTAAGTATTATTACTTCAATGTTTATTATAATATATATCATATAATAAATGCCAAGAGTAGCCTGGCAAATAAGCAAGAAACTTAGCATACAGTTTTAAATACACTTTTTTTTAAAGTGTATTCCATATCTTGAGCTGTGGTTTTACAATATAGTATTTTGGGAGGATAATCTGCTTCAGGAATTATGCACAGAACTGTGGATATGACTGAAGCTTTTCACCCTACAAGTAAACCCAGGCAGGCCAACAGGATACTGACAGATAAAGAGACACACTTGTTAACTGAGAGCATATCTGGAGAGCAGGCGGCTTTGGATAAACTCTAGAAAAACTGAATCGAAGCTGGAGCACTATGGTCGTGATGGGAAGTTATTAGAGTGTCCAGCACCAGGAAGTATACAGAGGATTCCTCATACTGTAACGGACACCTGGACCAGCTTGATTACATCTGGAAGAAATTCAGTCCTCATTCTCAGAACACAGAGATAGTCACTTGGGCCCCCACCTCCCACCTCAATTACTGAGAAATCAAGGAAAAATTTGACTACTACATGACAATCTGCAAGAATTGCAGATGAGCCATTCATAAAAGTATTCTACAATCATTACATAGTATTTTAAGTATCTTAAAACTATTAGAAGTAATGAAAAAGTTGCTTGATTAGAAATAGCCATGATTTTCCTTTTATTTTTGGTAAGAGGATCCTAAGAAACCATATAGTTTAGGTGGAAATGAAAGTTTGATTTTATTTTTTTCCTAGGGAATTCATGCCATCAGCGCATATGGCTTCATTTAATGACATTCAGCTATAATGATTCTGTATAATTACTGGCCTACATAACGCAATTCTCCTGGGATGCTATAAGAAATCTGCACAATCATCAGGAAGGACTTTGGGAATGGGAGTGGAGAAGAAAAATAAAACCCAGCCAGAAGCTCTGCTGTAAAAGATAATCACTATAATTTACATTTTGCCACCAATTCTCAGGTACAAGGTCTTTTATGCACCATCAAATGATCTGAACACTAATTAACACTCCTGTCTTCTACAGACACAAACACTCTAATTTGTGGTTATTTTCTTTTCTTTTGTCACTAAGTTCTTTTTAGGGGCAAATTCCTTTTCTTCTTGCTCAGAAACCCGACTCAATATATTACAGACATTCTGGCATCCACAGGCAAAAGGTAAACAAGTGAGAAGCAACAAAGGATAACAAGGTAGAAACCGCTGGAGAAACACACCAATTAAGCTGTTCATCTCTCAGGAAAAGTAGCCTGTTCATATTCATCCTTTAGTCTCGCCTCCCTCACCTCCTTGAAGCAGGCAGCTGTGGTTACATTTTGGAAGTGCCAGTCTAACAAGCCTCCAGCGCCAAGCTGTTGTGCCTCCACAAAAAGAGCCATGGGAGAGTTGGGAGCAGACAGCTGGACCTAGGGTTTCCTCAGGTCAGCACTGCTGTTCAGTGTGCAACCACCAACTGAGGATACCATGAAAAAAATGAAAGCTTTTTAGTCCAGACTGTGCCTTTGCTTTATTGTGTGGCATCAAGCACATGTTCCAGACTTCAAAAATAAGTAATAAAGAAGGAATACAAGTCAGTCTTTCTTCTCCACCAAAATAAATGATGTGGGTGAAAGGACTGCAGTATTTCTCAAGTATCATGCCCCATGTGTTCTACAAATTGCTACTACTCCTCTTTGCAAGAGCTCCATTTTTAATATCTGATTTTTAAATGAAACTGGAAAAAAAATACCTGTTTTCTCTAGCATAAAGCCTAGGGAATCTTTATCTGGAAATTTCAGTAACAGCCCCCAAAAAACACGTAGAGAATCATTTCAGTATCATCAGAGAAACATCACATAAATTAATCCAAATCAACCAGAGAAAATACCATGTTTGGAGACACAATGTTATCATATAATAAATAATGAGACAACATCCTAGACTTAAGTTTGCAATCAGGTTGCAAAGTATATCCATGAAAGACAGATGAGAGCTGTCAGGCTATGCCTGCCCTGCGAAGAATATGTTTCTTTCTGTTAAATTTTCTTGGCTTTTCTACTGAACTAACCCTATTGGGCACTCAGAGAAGAGGAAACCAGAACATCAGATGTACAAAGATGCCATTCCCATTAGGCACACCTTTACAACAAAGCTTCCAAGAGTCACATGTAAGTTTTCTCGGCTTCTTCCACCATATAGATTTTTACCTTCAAGAAAGGAGCGCATACTAACATTGCCCAAAATCTAAGTAAACCTCTCGGCACAGTGTTTTGTACAGACTCGATCAAGTCCTTCATGCATGCATAGCTATTGGAAACACCAGTCTCAAAAGACTTGGGTGGGATTTATACCAACTGAATATGAGCTTTAGTGCCAAAAATGGCCGAGAGAGGCAGAAAACCAGAGCGGGACCACCATTAACAGATTACTTAGTCAAAATTACCATGACAAAGTACATGGAGACCATTCACTACATCACCGTCTCTATGACAACCCCCTATTTGCAGCTACTGTACTAGGAGTTGTTGAACTGTCTGATGAACATCTAGCCTTGCACAAATGTTGTTTTGCTCAAAATGATTACCAAAAATTGCTTCAGAATTACAGTCTGTAGTATTCTAGCTGCACACTCAAAACAGAGGCGCCCTAAGAAGAAAAATGCTAGAGTCAGGCTCCACAAGGCCAACAAATCATGATGATCACACACCTTCCTTGAAAGAGCTGTGTCTTTTTCTTGTTGCTAGTATGACACAGTATGAGTATTTTTCAAAAAGCACACTAAATAATTCTTGGGAAATGGGTTAGGAAAATGGTTTAAAATATTTTCTGTCTCTAGCAGTTCTGATTAACTTGTAAAGTGGGTATCTTCCATCTGAGGTGTTCAAGCACATTATACACATACTTGATATTGCCAATTTCACAAGTGGCAAAACTGAGGGAGAGAGGGAAGGTGACTGTAATGTGTCATACCTACAGGCTTGCAGCAGAATGAGATTAAAATCTACATGCTAGCACTCCCAAGCAACTTGCTGTCAGTATTGATCATACTGACTGCAAGCAGATTTCTAAACAAAAAGACTGGGGAAAAAAATGCAAAACATCTGAAATGTGTACTTCCAAGACTAAAAAAGAACCCCATATTAAACTGTTCATTAATAAAATGGACTGATCTCTTTTCTGATCCACATATGAACTACAGTTGTTGCAAGATATTCCTTATGAACACATCAGACACATGTCTGTCATGTTAGTTTAGTAGCAGCAGTATGGAATATGCTCTCAAAGACATTCTTTAGCGTTATAAGCAGTAGCAGATGCAAAGATTAAAGGTGGTCTTAATTTTCAAGCATTCTGCACAGTGAGATCTTTCAAAACACTAGTTAACATAAGTAGAAGCCTCTGTCTTCAACATCTACTTCTCACTTTTGATAGGTTAGAGAGTGAGACTGGGAAAATGAGTGTGGAAGAGTCAATCTCCTAAGAGGTGAAAATTACCTTGTATGCGAGACAGCATCACTAAGACTATAAGCACTGTTCTCCCTTGTTAGAGGATTGGAGGATGGTTGACTTTTGCTGTGAATATCCAGGCTCAGTGAAGACTCGGTCTTTCGGTCCATGTGGGTCTCTTTTTCTAATGTCCTGTCTGCAATGGAGACCACTTCGCTGGAGCTATGCCACAGCGGTGCCACTTTCTCCTTTGTTAGCCCTGTACGGGGCGATGTTGCTGCCCCCAGGGAGGCAGTGCTGCCATGGCTAGGTCCGTAGGAAGTGGTATCTATGCCACTATCAGCTGAAGTCCCTTGAAGGTAGTTGTAGCTGTTCAGCTCCGATTCGGTGCGCTCTCCACTGTCATACCATTTCTCATCACTGTGAGCACTGGAGGCATTGCTGGAGAGAGTATTGCTGCTGGAATGGCTGGAGTAGTGGCTGTCAGACTACAGAAGAAACAACAATCCAAAAAACGACACTTGTAGGTTTATTTCAGAATTATGTCAATATAAAGAGGAGGAGGAAATAAATGGTTACAAAAGTCACCAGTGCACAATAGGAGCTCTTCTACCTTAAGGTACGGAATAGATCCACTGAGGAGACTAATAAACGTAAACATTTAATTCCAACACAACGCATGTGCTCTGTTCTGGCTGCACATAAAAAGCTTTCATATGGATTTGGAAGCCGTGTCTTAACTATTCATGGACAGTCAGAGTTCATAGAATGGTTTGGTTGGAAGGAACCTTACAGATCATCTAGTTCCCGTTTGTTTTTTGCCTCAAAATACTTTACACTGTTTCCTTTCAAACACAGTTCTGTTCAGCCCAGTCCAAATAAATTGGCTGAGTTGTGTAGACTTTGACTTGGTTTGTAACTACTGTAATTAAAAATATTCTAATTTTAAGACCCTAATGTTTCAGAACATGAAACATAACCTGTCCACAGAAAGTGCACGTTATTTTAATAATCCGGTTGCCTATCAAAAGGTTAAAGTAGGGCAAAATAACCATTGCTTTTCCTACCCCTTTGCAGTAGGGTATATTTCTTCCTCAGCAGGAGCGTCCTTTGTGAATAACTACTGAAATGCCATTTAACTAATCCGAAATTGTTTTCAAAAAGGCAGAATGCAAGAAAGGAAGCTTTAAAGCAATGTTTTTAAATGTCCCACCAGTGCATGCCAGTATCTGGCTGGTTTGTATGTTCTGTCCTTTGTTACAGCTCACTGTTACGAAGAAACTGGATGCCCTCAATTCCATAGTGAGCATTGGTGAAATAGACCGTTACAGGAAGAATTTCTTGCCATATACTCATCATTGCTTAGTAGCTCACCTAGCTTTGGGGTATTTATATCCATCTGAATTCCTTAGTTTTAGTTTCCATCTACAGAATTTATCTAAGTTCTGATCATCTCTATAATCAGAACTGAAGCAGTTTTTGAGTTGGCAATGGACTTGCTTGGTGACCAGATGGCCTAGGTATAAGGGAAGGGATGGAAAGGAGACTAAGAATCACCTTTCCTGTTTTATCTATCCCTGGAGTTTTACTGAACAGGTATGGACAGAGATCCCAGCTAAAAATAAAAAATTAGATACTGTTTCTGTTTTCACTGGAAAAGAGGGAAAATAGAGAATGGATGTCTACCAAGAGCAAGAAATCTCAGCATCCACATTTCCTATTATACTAAAGCAAGAATTGACAGAAAAACAGGAGGAATACTAAGTAAGTTGATCTGGACTCCTAGTTATCTCCAATTAAAGTTACTGCTCTTCATTAGGAACTGCATCACTCCCCCCCATCCATCTGTCCACATAATAAAGATTTACTTTAACAATGACTAAATGAGAAGAATGCAAGCATTAATAATACCAGCGCTGCACTTTGCATGCAAGCTAATGAGTTATATATTACACCATTATACGGTCAAATACATCTCATGGAAAACAGGTCAATCTAAATATAAAAACCAGTTTGTGCTCCTAAGAATATGAAGACAGGTATGTGTTGGGGTTTTTTTGGTGGTTTTTTTTTTCTTTAGATAATAAAGATGTGTTGTTATGAATAACCTAAAAGGAACACTGCCAATTGTATTTAAAGAAGAATGCTGGTAAGCAGGAGCAAATAACATGAACCAATTAAAGACTTTCTCACATCTAAATAAATGTAACTAATACTTTCAGTATAATCATGTAACACAACTCTGTATTTTAGCTAATTGTACAAATAAATAAAAACCAAGTGATACAGCTTATTGGGTAATTTAAAGTTTAAAGGGCAAGGGTTTTTTTATAATTCTAGTGACTTAACTAATTTCAGGACATTTTAAATTTATGAACATTATTGCATTTATCTGTCTCTCTAGATGTAAATCAGGAAGTGACAGTCTCCAAAAAGGTATGAATATCTAACTCTGTGGAGACCGAAAGACAGTATTTACCATTTAGACCTTACACATAAATAAAACAAGAAAGGTTTTTTTTTTCAGCAGGC